GGAATCTGGTTTGCTGGCTGCTTGGGGAAGCTAGGCAGATCCTTGTCAGTGTACCTGGGGTTGGTTTTATTGTCAGGCAAGATGGACCTTTCAGGAGGGCAGCAGAGCTGGGGAAGTCCATTGTGAAGGAGATGGAATGTTGAGGTCATCAGCTGACAGAGGATGGGGTTTCTCTATGTTGCATTTCCCTTGTAAGGGCTGCCCTTGGGCTGGGCTGTGAGCAGGTGAGGGGGTTTCTATTCTTTGGTCTAGATGGGCTTGTATGGGGGCAGGAAGGGTCAGTTTCAGTCTGATGGAGATTAGGCAAAGAAATGAACTGGGTTTGACCCTGGTCATATCCAAAAGACAAATGGGGAAAAGTCTCCATTTTGTTTGTTAGGTTTATTTTCTCCACTACAGGCACTGCTTATGTTCATAAAGCTGAATGCTTGATTTAAAGGACATAGATATGGCAGGCCTTGGGAAAAAGTGATAGAGTATAACATGATCATCCTGAAGCATTTCAACACAACTGTGTTCTGCTTACTTGAAATATAACCTGGTGTATTGACCACATAGTGATGACGATAAATAATCTCCTTCATAATACAGAAGAAACTATGGGCTCACATAAACAACACCTCCTGTTACTTCAGAACTAGTTAATAGAATGTGTAATGGAATGTCTATATTTTTTGTGTGTATCACTTTAAAAAATATTGTTGAAACATAATATTATAGAGTGGACAAATTAATATTTTATTATAATGCCAGTAATATATACTTTACTGTATATGTTAATTTTCCTTACCATTTATTAGTGTAATGGGGGGCAGTGTTAATTACAAAAACAGGATCTTTTCATTTATATGTAAATTGCATACATTGCAGAACATCTTGGATGCCCTTATTTCAAACTACAGATGGAAAAAAATATGTCTCAATGTTTTATATGTTATAAAATCTTTTGAGTTTGTTTGGTTAGTTTGGTAGGAAAGAAGATGTAGATTTGGCATCCCCCTTGCATGTTAATGCTTTATGCACAAAGCTTTTCTTCTCTCTCTTTTTTTTAAAAGAAACCCTTTTTTTAAAGAAGAGAAGGGTTGTCAATCATCCTCACCAAGGGCCTGGGTGAAGAACCATGTCTTCCAGGCCCTTTGAAATACCAGTAGAGTGGGGGCCATTTGAGTCTGGGGGGGAACCTGGTTCCAGAGAGCAGGCACTGCTACAGAGAAGGTACATTGCTGAGGTCCTGATAGATGGCATTGTTTAATTGAAGGAACCCAAAGCGTGCCAACCCAGCCAGATTGAACCAGTCAGGCAGATACTATGGGAAATAAGTGGTCCCTCAAGTAAACAGGCCCTATGCCATGTAGGGCTTTATAGGTAGTGACCAGCACCTTAAATTGCACTTGGAGGCACACTGGCAACCAGTGCAGCTTGCGAAGCAGAGGTGTTACATGGGCATACTGAGACATGCCCACCACTGCCTGTGCTGCTGCATTCTGGACCAACTGAAGCTTTTGGGTGGTCTTCAAAGGCAGCCCCACATAGAGCATGTTGCAGTAGTCAAGCCATGAGGTGACCAGGGCATGAGTGACTGAAGGGTCCTCTCATATGTCATCCTGAGACTCCTAAAAGGAATCACAGGAGATAAATAAACTAATCATGTCCGCCGCCTCCTCCTCCTCCTCCTCACACCATTTTGGACTTAAGACCTCTCATCTTTTTGTTGACAGCCTGACCAAATCTCTGATACCAAAATGACCGAACGCTTTGACTGCCACTATTGTAAGGAGACGCTGTTTGGCAAGAAATACATTTTGAGGGAGGACAGCCCCTACTGCATCAAGTGCTACGAAAGCTTGTACTCCAACACCTGCGAAGCATGTAAGAAGCCAATCGGCTGCGATTGTAAGGTAGGCCTCCCTGCCAGTTGCCTGGCCTAAGCTTTCTTACTTGCCACGAAGTCTCTCCAAAAGGTTGCCCAAGGATCCTGCCCGAGTCAAGGGTTGCAAGGAAGAAACGGCTCCCCTGTGAATGGCTCAGATTAATTGGGACTTTTCAAAACAGCCAAAGCAGGGTTTCCTTATAACAGCTGGTCTATATGTTATTTTTCTCTTATCCTGAGATAAGCAGTCTTCCTGTTTGCGTTTGTTTTTCCCTTTTTGTATATTCTGCCTTTCTTTCTCTATATTAAAGCAAATACCGTGAAAACCAAAAAAGGCCATGGGTGCTGCTGGATTTGAGGGAGCCCACCCCCAACTATTGTCCTCATCCTAGCCTGGCCTGGGTGCTTGAATGATCCCCCAACTTAAAAGCAGAAGGAATTAACTTGTCTGCTAGGAGGACAGAGCTGGGAGAAAGGGAATGAACAGAACCCTGCAATAAAAGGAATAAAGACTTATTTGTCCCCCTTCAGCCTTTAACAGGTAACGGGAAGTAAACAAATAATAAATGGGCCTTTCTTCTTTCCTTCCCTCCTTTTTATACAATTTTAAAAATTATATAATTGAAAATCTAAATTGCAAAATATAATAATAATTTAACATGGAGCATAAGGTACTAACAGGATAGCATCAGAAATCCAGAAACAATTCAACAAACTTTCAGTGGAACCAGAAAAAAAAGAAGTGGTTCTGATCCACCTGGTCGTTCCAAGGTGCAACACAACACACGTGAGCATGGATTAGTTTACTATACCTTGGACTCCCCGGCCATGTCCTATTTAATATATGGCTTTTTGTTTGCTTGTTTTTGGCCTCACCGTTCTTCAGTCCTCAGGTACTTTGTTTAAGCTGGGCTCTCAGTGACTGTACAAGTTGGATGAGTGTGTCAGCTGCACTGTTGCTCCTTGACACACTGCGATGGACCAACCAAAATACCAGTTGCCTGTGACAGCCACAGGGCATAGATCCAGTTTTCAAGCCTGTCTTCCTATTCAGACTTGGTGTGATTAGAAGGAAAGGTCTGAAACTGAGGGGGGTCTAATTCTACGGCTAGCAGGGACGGTGTGGTCCAGGCCACTTCTGGATGCTCCCCACGTGGTCTCTGCAATGGAGCCAAAGAAGGTCCCACGCTGGGTAACGTTTTCATACCGTCTCTTTCTTATGGCTCCTGTAGCAAGAAAGGAACGCGGCAGGGAGAAAGGTTGCTCCACGCTAGGGAGGAAGTGGGGAAGATTCAGCTTGTGGTTTCCTCGTGAGGGATGCTGCCACTGGGAATTGTGTAGTCTCAAACAACGGGAAGGCACCAAGTTGGAGGAAGCTGTAAGAGACCCGGGGCCAGGATTTTCCTTCCGTTTTTTAAAAAAACATTTAGTGTTCCCTATCTAATAGTTTCCTCCTACTTCTTCGCAAACATTTCATTTAATAGGCTTATCTGCTGCTCCGATCAACAACTAACCGAGCAGCTTACGTACCTCAGCTGAAACAAAATTAAAACAACCCACTCCTCACAATCGCAACAACAAAGCAGTGCTGGCAATCCAGGAAAGAGAAGGAATCTTAGCGTCAGGAGTATCACTTAGCCAACAACCTACAGGAAGGCTTCATGGCATCCTTCGGACCCCAAAAACTTGAAGCAGCCAGCTTTGAATAGTTTTGGGGAAGCCCAACAGCATGGAGGCCGTCTAGAAGCTCTTCCTTAGAGGGTCTTCTCTCAGAGCTTGCTCACTGCCTAACCCCCACCCCTGACTAGATTGAAAGCAAGCTCCAAACTAAGGAGGAAAGGGAGAAAACACTTTGTTAGCTCCAAGAGGCGTATGGAGGCCCTCTGGGTTTGTAACTGGAGCCCTTGCGTTGAGAGAGTAAGTTTTATCTTCCCCTTCTTTCGCCATTTGCCCTGATCCAAATCAGCTCTCGAGGCTGCTAAGCTCCCAGTGATGAACAATACATATACTCATTACACAGACTTAACTACGGAGATACACACATACACACACAGATATATATCTGAGAGAAAATCAAAATATTAGCCCAGTGGCTACTTCAAGGTAAAAATAAAGGCATCCCCTGTTTTTTGTCATTTGACTTCAATTTTTTTTTCCTTTTTAAAAGTACATTTCCTAAAAACCCAGTCTTTCAAAAAAAAGACCTGTAGATGCTCTGAGTTGGCTCTGAAAACAGAGCTATAATAGATAAACGTACTATGGACTTCTGAGCAGCAGCGAGCAGAAGCAAACACCAAAAGCCAAAAAGAAAAAAAAGTAAATATGCAAAAATTCCTGAAGCTGACAAACCCTGTTTCTTCCCAGAATTCTTTCTGCGTAGGATTTAAAAAAATCCCTTGTGCACTTTGAGTGTGTTGACATTCCTGAATCCCTTTGCTTAGCCTGCCTTCGGGACGTCTCAGAGCAAGGCAGGAATTAGCTGAACTTTTCAACTCGGACAGATGGATTTGGGGAGGCTTAGGCCTAGCCAATCTCTCCCACAGGCCCTTCTGCAAGGCCAGATGAAGCAAGCCATGGAAGATGGTGGGCCCCTTCCTCTCTGTGTGAACAGTTAAGAAAATATTTGTTAATGATGGGGGGATATAGGTAGAAATCAGCGTACTCACACATGCTTGTTTACGCCCTGACGCAGAAGCCTGATGTCTTCTTAACCACACTGGGAGAGAATGACTAAGCAGAGGTGTGCTATATCCAGTGACTCCCAGAAAGTCATATACAGTAGATAGCATTTTCCATTCCTTTAAAAAAATCTTTTTTAACTTTATTAATTAAAAATAGCAAATGAATACATATAAGACATTGCGTGATACCTACAAAAAGTAAACTCCAAAAGTGCAAAGTATGTGAGCTCTCTTGATGATTCATGATTTGAGTGCATGGAACATACATACTTCCGTGCAGCAGACAAGCTTGTCCTACGAATTTCTCATTATCATCTCTTTTGAATAATCCCTTCATTGCAATTTTAAAATCCCATTCTTGCATTAAATGATAAATTACTGCAGACCTTGAGGCATTTACATCTATCTAAGTTCCAGGAAAACAGAGATTTGTATAAGCATAGCTCTGCAAAGCTCAGCAGCTGCTACATTTTGTGGTTTTTCCACTGAGTTGGGCAGGAAAATAAAAAGCTGATGCACACAAGAAGGCACGTGGGATTGAGTCTGAAATAAAATTCCATGTGAAGGGGGAAAAAAAAAAGGTTTGGCCCTTTCCAGCATCCCATTTCTATGTAATGATTACTAGTAAAGTGCAACACCTCCTTGTAAAGTAGGAGTCTTCTAATACCGGGAATTGGCTTTCTAGGAGATGTCAAAGCACATGTAAACGTTTTTTTCCTAATCCAGACAACATTTTGGCTTTTAGTTACAGTACTGTACATCCAAAGAATTTGTAACACCTACTGGGTGTTTGCAAAGTGGAAAAACAGAAGAGGAGGATATGCTGCATGCCACACTTTTTCAAATGAACCCATAATGGGGGTGGGGGTCCCCTACTTCGATATGCTTTTTATCTGATGCTGATAAATTGCTATCAGCAAATTGACCAATTTGTCCAGATTGCTCAAGATTGTACAGAGTGCAGTCCTTTGTTTGAAAGGAAAGTCTTCTCTGTAAATATGTCTTCAGTGTAAAGGATTATTCAGTCCAAACGTGGATTTTAGGCAAGGAAGGTCATGAAGTTGACATCAAGAGTGAATAGACTTAGCAGCAGACACATGAGTGCCCTGGCCACAGTCTTCTCTGTGACAGTTACTTAAGTAAAATATCTCTGAATGCACACCTATGCACTTAATTTGATATGTACAAGATTTTATATGTATATGTGTGTATGTTTGTATACACACACACACACACACCCAACACACACACATATACACAGGTAGTCCCCAGTTTAAGAACGAGTTACGTTTCCAAGGTCTGACCTTAAGTCAAATTTGTATGTATAATACTATTTAAGTAGTATTGTGTAATTAACTCGAACCATTGTATATTTAACTCGAATCATTGTGCATTTAACTTAAATTTTGCTACAATAGTTCTTAACTGTGGGTTGTTCATAAACCGGGTGTTTTTAATTCGGGGACTAACTGTATATGTATATATGATTTATATGGCCACCTATCTCACAACAGTGACTCTGGACAGCATACAAGGATTGAAACACCAACCACAGCATACAACCCATGGCGCCCAAGGATAAAACATGTAAAATTGTCAGTGCTAGTTTCTACTTCTTTTCTGATGGAAAAAAGGGGCAAAAGGTCTGGTCATTCATACAGGTTGTGTTTATTAAAAGGATAGCATCAGCAGCTTATTCAAAGCAATCGCTTAAGATGGATGCTAGCTGGCAAACTGGAGGTTAAATTTCAATGGATCTGAATTTTAGCTATTCATGGTCATGTGTTTTCCATTAGTTACCAGTCCTTATGTACAATGCTGTTGTCAATTTGTCCCGAGGTTGTAAGGTATTTTTTTAACATGTGCTTATATGATTTGGGTTTTCTGCAGGACCTGTCCTACAAGGATCGTCATTGGCATGAGAACTGTTTCCACTGCTTCCAGTGCAAGAACTCACTGGTGGACAAACCTTTTGCTGCAAAGGAAGAGAACCTTCTTTGTACCGAATGTTACTCCAATGAATACTCCTCCAAGTGTAGTGAGTGCCAAAAGACCATCATGCCAGGTTAGACCTTGTCTGCTTTGGGGACACAACGGGGCTTTCATGCAATGTCTTCTAAGACCAGAGGAAGGTTCTTCTGCAAGACACTTTTCCAAGTCTTTTATTTGCCTTCAAACGGTCCAGTAGAACTCATGTGTTCAGCCAGGACAGGATGTCTTTCATGCAGAGCAGTCAAGCTGGGATGGGAGGGGGGGCTGCACTGAATGTCCTTTGAAAGGCCAAGGACCACAGTGGTGGGACGATGATGCAGAGGTGGTAGGGTCACAACACATATAGCTACAATCAGATTTTTTAAAATTTCTTTTTAGGGAGTTAGGGTTTTCTTCCTTTTTAAAAATCAGTCATCCTAGTTCTATGTTTCCTTCCTTTCAGTCTTCTTTACGTCTCCCTTATAAAACAATATTGCCATATTGCTATTACTAAAAAAGGCTGAATTACAGAGAGTGAAACTAGTTTTACATGTTTATTACTGTCTAAAAAGATATTTCTTAGACCTCTTTTGCATACTATTCAAAATGATCTCCATCCAGTAAAGATCAGCTCCTCCACCTCACAAAGGAATAAAAATCCAAAATAAAACTATATCAGTACATGAAGATTTTAACAGCCATCTTTCATTTATGGCTGCTTTTTTGGTGGCCTTTCATCAAAGTAGGTCCTCAGAATGCCCTTGCCCCAGAAATAGAGTATGGCCAAATGTAGGACCATCTAGGCTCTTACCTTGGCACTGTTACTCCAGTAGTTTATTACTGTACTGTACTATTGTATTTCAATGGAGTCATTGAGGTTAAAAGGGTTTGTGATGCTGTACACTCCCTGAAGATGTATTGCATGATAAATATTTAAAAAAATAGGAAGGGAGGCGGGGAGGGAAGGAGTCTCTTTTAAGAATTCCTTTGCAATTTTAACAAAATGTAAATAAGGTATATTTTTTTAAATACGGAAAGCTTCTTTGACACCTTCCTTATTTTTTAGAAAGCAAACATTTACAGTGCCATATTAAGAAGTAAAGGTAATTGAAAGATTTAGCCTCATAAAGTCCCAAAATTCCTTCTCTCTGCCCCTACCACATGCTGTATTCAATTCCTGTTTTTATTCACATTATATTGTTTTCCTTTCTTTTAATTATAGAAAGCTATCAAGAAACATACTGTTACTATGATTCTTTTTTTTACAATGAACAATCTTATCAATGAGATTCTAGGAGATTATTGCTTCATTTACAGGTGTGTCCATTCAAACCCAAACAGTCTCTCTCAGCTCCCTGAATCATTGATTCAAAGCTGGATCCAACCTGCTTTAGTTTTCATCCTTGAACAAAATGACCTTAGAAATGGAAGTCAAACTGATATTGGCAAACTCAGAGGGTAGGGCTGAAGTAGAGATAATAAACAGTTTTGACACTTCCATTTTAGGAAGTCAGTGTAATCAGCTGGTAAGAAAAAAAACCTTTTTGAATGGCCTCTCCTGTCATTTATCCTTAAATGAATTTTTATGCTTTATGAACCATGATACTGAAATTAAAGACTATGATTACAAGGGAGAAAAGTGTAAGGGTAATTATGCAACTCTATTCAGAGCAGATGGCAAAAATCCATTACTATAATGCAGGTGATGCAGAACTTTCACCTTTGGCCCCAAGCTTACACATAAGGATAAACATTCTGGATTGTGTGTACTTACTGAGATCAAACAGATTTGATTCTGGATTTAAATTAAACTGTTCTCTCTGTAGATGCAAGATCAAAAAAAGATTTCAGCAAAGTGTACCAAGAAGCCACCAAAACATCTTTTATAAGGAAATAGCAGCGATAGCTTCAGTTATTCAAATGGACCATATTTATTCAAACTAAAGCTGGTTGTGTTCCCAAGTTAGTTGCATAGTAGAAGAGAAGGCAAGGGGACTAGAGCATTCTGAAAAGATGTACAAATGGGGATCTGCAACAAAGCATAGTGAAGCATGTCCCAGAATTGTACCATTCAGTTCTGATTTCACAAGAATCCCAAAGAGGAGCATGGATCATGAGCTCACCCAGCTGAGACTGAATTTGAACCACATGATGGAAAGGAGCCACCAAGGTCAGATGGCTCACACACTACAGAGAACCAAGTTTAGTCCTTGGTAGCCAGCCAGAATCTTTAGATAACTTCATAGGCTGTGTTGATTATAACAATGGTAGTCTGCAGATCAAGTTAAGTTTAGTTTTCCCCCTCATGTGTCTTTTGCAATTAACCATATAGTCCCATAGATTACTTATTTTAGCCCAACGGCCCCTGTTGTTGTTGTTGGAAGGTTGCCCAATAAAATAATGATGATGATGATGATGATGATGATGATGATGATGATGATGATGATGATGATGATGATGATGATGATGATGATGATGATGATGATGATGATGATGATGATGATGATGATGATGATGATGATGATGATGATGATGATGATGATGATGATGATGATGATGATGATGATGATGATGATGATGATGATGATGATGATGATGATGATGATGATGATGATGATGATGATGATGATGATGATGATGATGATGATGATGTCCCAGCTCCACTGTGTGAACTCACTCAATGAGTGACTCTCTTTGGGTCTCTCAGAAATGTTAGTCTACAATGCTCAGGGTTGCCATATCCAGAATGCAGTAATACACAGTCACTAGGTGGTAGAAAAGAGTTCTCCGTCTCTCTTTGCTGCCATCTGTCAGCCACTTGTTTTAGCATCCCTGGGCAATGGCCATTGTGGTGTCTGAAAGGCATTAAATTTGGGAAGATTATTCTATGTAAGGCTTAATTTAGTACTCAGGATCTGAGAAAAGTAGAGATTATAGGGTGTAATTTCATTAATCCTGACTACTACCCTAAATTTTCATAACCTGCCCAGATTCTTCGCATATACTAACTGGAAAATGGAATAGATGGAAATGAAACATGGAATCTCCACTTCTTTTATGCTATAGCAACTTAAAAGCTGGTCCTGAATTTCTTCTTCTCATAGGAACACGGAAGATGGAATATAAGGGAAGCAGCTGGCATGAGACCTGTTTTATCTGCCATCGGTGCCAACAACCCATTGGAACAAAGAGTTTCATTCCGAAGGACAATCAGAATTTCTGTGTGCCCTGCTACGAGAAGCAATTCGCTATGCAGTGCGTACAGTGCAAGAAGGTAGGGTTTATTATGCTGTGAAATATGATGCTGTGAAATACATATTTCCTCTTCTGCTTCTCCTCTTTCTCCAAGCGAATGTTTCCAGGCTGCTATCCTACCAAATTACTTTGCTGTTTCTTCCTAAAACATTTGCAAGTTAAAGAAAATGGAGGGCACATAGAAAACAAAGAATGAACTCTTCCCTTTCTCTCTCCACCCTCTCCCATTTTAAATAAACAGCCAATCACTACTGGAGGAATCACTTACCGAGAACAGCCATGGCACAAGGAGTGCTTTGTGTGTACTGGATGCAAAAAACAGCTATCTGGACAACGCTTCACTTCCCGAGATGAGTTTGCATATTGTCTGAACTGCTTTTGCAGCCTCTATGCCAAGAAGTGTGCAGGATGCACTAATCCAATAAGTGGTAGGTACTTTGTTGTCGCCTTCTTTGAAAATAGGAAGGATTTCCACTACCGGTCAATATAAAGTGTCATCATCATCAATGCAATATAAAGTTCTGGGCACAACACCAATTGGGTTTGAAAAGACATCAGTGGCAGTCCAGGAATTTGAAGCAATGAAGGCAAAATAAGAGCACCAAGAACAAGATAGAACCGGTGGCATGGGGATAGTGGTGGTGATGGTTTGCAAAAATGGTGGTAAAGATCTGGCGCATAAAGTTTTAGATTGGTCCCAAAAGAGATAAATGAGATGGAAATGGACAAATAAACCAATAGCACTTGTCCCAAGTATCTGCAGAGTCCATCTTTGAGAGTCACTTTGTGTGAGATGGGCAGCTATACAAATAAATGTATGTATGTATGTATGTATGTCTCTGTATGCCTCTGAGTGCCAGATCCTAGAAGACAGTAATTCAGTGTTTTTCAACCTTGCCAACTTTAAGATGTGTGGACTTCAGTTCCCAGAATTATGCACATCTTAAAGTTGCCAACGTTGAAAAACACTGCAGTAATGAGTGTTCCTAAGAGCAGGACTGTAACCTGAACATTGATGAGTGAAGCAGGATTTATAACCCAATGAATTTTTATTAAAGAAATATACAATAGACAAATGTAAAAACTAGCACCTAGATGACCACTTCCTGCCAGGAGAGTCTAAGAATAAGGCATGAGGAAATCACAAGCAATTAGCAATTTCGTTGAAAAAGTGTAGCCAGAGGGGACACAGAATAAACCCTTAGTTCTATTTCTATACATCATTGCCCCTTATGGTCAGTAGATTCTGAGGTGCCAAAAAAGCAGTGCCACAGAAATCACACTTCCAACAAGCAGTGTGTAGAGCTATCAGATGAGTGATAACTCATTCACCACCAGTACTTGGCATCTTTCGTAGCTGGCAGGACCATGAGTCCTAGCAGTTTCGTTCTGATGTCTATCTAGGACTCACAATATTTTATATCTAAGACCTGTTTGGGGCAGTGCAGGAAATAGAGCCAGTTTGGTCTAGCAGTTAAGGCCCCAGGCTAGAAACCAGGAAACGGTGAGTTATAGTCCCACCTTAGGCATGAAAGCTGGCTGGGTGACTTTGGGCCAGTCACGCTGTCTCAGCCCAACTCTCTTCACAGGGTGGTTGTTGTGGGGAAAATAGGAGGAGGAAGAAGTATTAGGCATGTTCTCCACCTTGAGTTATTTATAAAAATAATAAAGGCGGGATAAAAAAAACTAAAA